TTCCCTCCTCCCTCCCTCGACGGAATTTCTTTTGCTTTGGTTAACTTAATTTTTGCATTAAAACTGTCGTCTAGTCGGAGATACTAAAAATAATAATTTTAGTTAACCGTTGAAAATGTTTTTCAAGTTCGCGATTCCCATTAAAGCTGAATGATTATTATTATTATTATTATTACTTCTTTCTCTTTCTAACCCTTTTCTATCCCTCTCACTCTTTCTCTCTCCCTTCATCCTTCCTTTTATTATTTAAAAAAAAAAAAAATTGTCAGGAATGCCGTCGAATGAATTTGACGCGTTTAATTTATGCTTGTCTTGTGTTGTCAAGTTTTTTTAAAAAAAAAAATTAAATTTCGTATATTATTATTTTTTGTTTGTTGCGTTTGTTTGTTTGTTTGTTTGTTTGCGTGTGTCTTGCGATTGAAATTAAATGAGAAAAAAAATATGGCGGGAAAAGTGTGTGAGAGAGAGAGAAAGTATTTGTTGTTTGGTACGGTCGTGATGTGAAAACAAGAAATCAGATCATCCATCCGTAAACGATGAAATTTTCCAACAGCGGGTTTTGGAAAATTCACAAACAAATTATCTGTTTCGGATTTTTTTTTTAACAATTTTTTTTTTTTTTTTTGTTAAAAATCAATTTTCTTTGTTTGTTTGTTTGTCTGTTTCAAAAAAAAGGAAAAAAAAAAAAAGAAATGTGAAATGGCGTGGAAAAAATTTTAAATTAAAATAAAATAATAATAATAATAACGAGGTTTTTTTTATTTTGAGGGGAAATAAAGGAGGAAAGAGAAGGGGAGAAGGGGGAGAGAGAAAAGAGGGAATGTCAAAAAAAGAGAGAAAAAAAATTGGCGTTCGGTAAATAATTAAGTTCATAATAAAATTTACTTTTAAGTTTTTTTACGTCGGTCGGTTCAAGTTTTTCCCATTTTCACTCACGATGAAAACCCTTTTTTTTTTTTTTACCGAAAGGAAAATAAAAAAAAAGAGGAAAAGAAAAGAAATTGATAGAAACAAAAACGAAAAAAAAAAAAAAAATTAAATTTTCCAAAGCTTTCCCCGTAGCAAAAAAAAAAGAAAATAAGGTGAAAGGTAAAGTGTTAAATCAACTTTTTGCTCTCGTCAATGCGTCTCTTGCTAGTAATTTGAATATATTACATTTTTTTTATACATTTTGAAAAAAAAAAAAAAAATGTGTAGTCAATTTAAAAAATAAAAAGAATGGGATGAAAAAATGGGAGAAGGAAGAGGGGGTGAAAGGGAGTGAAAGGAAGAGAAAAAGGTAAAGGAAAAGTAGGAAAAAGGATCAGGAAAAAAAAAAGAAAAGAAAAAATATGTTTTACAAAAAAAAGGAAAAAAAAAAGGATTTATAAATAATAAAAGAGATTGTACCCTGGGTGAACCTTTTCCGTCGGAATTCTGTCAAAATTTACCCCCTTCCACCCTTTTCACCCTTCACCTCCCCTAACCTTCAAACCCTACCTATGGAAAAAAAAAACTATTTTTTTTCCAGTTTTTCTATTTGCTCCGAACAATAATTTTTCATTGATTATTTTTTGTTTTTTTTTTTTTTTTGTTTTGAAATGGAATGATATTATTATTATTATTATTCACGAAAATTTCGTAGTTTTTTTTTTTATTCTCGTTTTCTAGAACTTTCTATACGGAAAATAAAAAAGAGGGAGGGAAGGAGGAAGGGAGGAAGGGAAAATGTAAAGGAGGCGGTTCCCGTCACTTTTTTAAAATGTTATTTCTGTTGTTTTCAAAATCCTTTAAAGGGGGACGGGGTGGGGGAGGGAGTGAAAGAAAAAAGGGGGGAAATTTTTTTTTTTAATTTGTCGTTTTTCTTCTTCTTTTTCTTCTACTGTCGTCTGCTGTCCTTCTTTCCCCCCCTCCCTCATTTTGTATTTTTTTTTCTTACTCCCTTTCATTATTTCATTCCCGAAAAAAAAGAAAGAAAGAGAGGAAAGGTGGTGCGGAGGAGGAGGTTGGGGGGCATTAAATATACAAATACAAAAACTCTTAAAATTTATTTAGGTGCAAAAAAAAAAAAGTTTTTTTTTCGGACGGGGAAAACTTTAAAAAATATAATTTTTAATAACGTCTTAATTGTTTAAAATATTTTACGTGTCAACTTCATTAAAACGTCACGCTGTAGTTTTTCATTAAAGTGACAAAAGTTTTCCGTCTCTCTCTCTCTCTCTCTTTTTTTGCGACTCCATTTTTTTTTAATTCTCCCCAAACGTCAACTATACATATACATTAATTAGCGTGTGAAGAAGCCGCAACTATAAGATTGGACGGTTCAAGTATATCCGGTTTCTTACACTCACTCTCTCTCTCTCTCACTCACTCTCACATACTCTCTCGCTCGAATTTTTTTTTTTTATAGCAAAAAGTACGACGAGTTGATGAATAAAATTATCGATCGATCGGTAGTAGAAAGAATTTCGATGACGGACCGAACGATCGACCAATCAAAAATTAGAAAAAAATTTTTTTTTTTTTTTTTTTTATTGGACGATGTTGCCGTTGACGTCATCGTATTTCGACCAATAATTTCGTCATTTGTCATCATGTGGTTTTTTTTTCTGCCCCGTTCTCTTGAATTTTCATTAATGTTTTTTTTTTCTTCTTCTTCGGAGGGGGGGGAAAGGGTGCTCGTTCGATAACCTTTGGTGGTAAAGGAAAATTTAAATCCTTTCGCGTGAAATGTATTTGGTTTCGCATAATTAAAAAAAAAAAAAAAAAATTAATAATGATGATGATAATTTTTTTCACTTTTCCTCTCCTCATGGGGAAATCATCCTTCTTCCTTTTCTGGAAGATTAACGTTAAAAAAAAAAAAAAATACTTCATTTATATTCTACTTGCTATAACGATAATTCCAAACTTTTTCCCCATCAGCGCTAAAGATAAGAAAAAACTAATGCTCCTTGTGGAAAAACAATTTCATTATTATTTTTTTTTTTTTTTTTTTAATCACCTCTCCTAGTTACCGATACACCCGGTTACCCTTTTGCCGCCGCCACCACCACCACCGCCATCACCTTGCACACTCTCAGAGCCATCTCCCTCCATTTTTTCCCTTCCGCCATTTTTAACTTTATTCACTATTTTTCATTATTATTATTATTTTCTTCTCTCCTTTTTTTCTTTTTTTTTTTCCATCGATTAAAAAAAAAATAATTTTTAATCTGCCCTCCAGTTTTCTTTCTTTCTTTCTTCCTTTCTACTTTTTTTTTTTTTTAAGTTGTTTGATTTTAATTAGTAAGAAAATTTATTAATTTTTTTCTCCTTCCTCTCCCCTCTTCCTCCCTCCATCCCTCCCCCGCATTTTCGGTTCATTTCGAAAACGAAAACGACCAACCACTTGACTCTTAAATTTTAATAAGTTTTTTACGGGGAATTTTTGGGCAAGACGTGAATTTTGTCTACGATTAAGTACGCGCGCGTTTTTTTTTTAAATTCAAAATGGAGGTGATGAAGATTAAGAAGCGAAAAAAAAAAAACAAATAATGATGATGATGATGATGAATAAACTATAATGTTTAAACTTTTATTATTATTATTATTATTATTTTTCCTTCATTTTTCTTATAACCCTTTCACACTTTACCTTTTTCTTTTGCTTTTTCAGTTTCTTTTTCGAATCTCTTCCTCTCTCTCTTCCTTTCTCTCTCTCTCTCTCTTTGAAAAAGGCGCCACGCTGATACGGGTGATTACTTTTTTTTTTCCTTTTTTTTTTTTTTAACACCCCGGCGGCATTTTTTATTTTATTTTATTTTATTTTACCCTTTTATTTAATTTAAAAATTAATTCATGGTGTCTTAACAATCGTTTATCCTCGTCGGTTAATTCCCGCCACACCGCCGCCGCCCCTCCGCCTCCTTCACCTCCTCCCCGCTCTCTCGGCGGTTTCTCTCTCTCTCTCTCTCTCCAGTAGTAGTTTTTGCGTGACGATTATTATTATTATTATTAACGTTGTTGTTGTCGTTGTCGTTACAGGAGCACGTACATCGATTTGCAAGATGTTTTATTACATAATAATGAAATACGTCAGGTGCGATTTCATCCAGGATCCCCTCAGGATAATCATTTGGTCATTTTGACATCGAACAACACGTTGAGACTTTATCAATTGCCACTGAGCGACGGGATGGGAACCGAAAAATCATCCGCTCCCGAATTCATTCGCACGTGGTTTTTGGGTCAAAGGTCGACGACGGATGGAAAAGAATGGAATTTGAGCGGGAGCAAATTACCCTTTTTGGTCGGATTGGGAGAAATGGCGGTGGATTTTGATTTTGCTCTTCCGATCGTCGAGGTGAGTCGAACCGCGGAAAAACCGAAGGGGGGGAGAGGGGGAAATTTTTTTGAATAATTTTCCTTCCACGTTAAATATTATTAATATTTTCTTACTCTCTCTCTCTCTCTCTCTCTCTCTCTCTCTCTCTCTCTCTGTCTCTGTCTTTCGAAAACGAAACGATAAATTTATTATTTATTTTCAAGTAATTGAAAAAAAATTTTTTTTATTTCACTTAAAAAAGAAATATTAACGGCGATGATGATGATGATAACGATTATAATAATAAAAAAAAAATGAGAAAGAAAGAGAGAGAGAGAGAGTGGGAGTGAGAAAAAGAAATGAGAAAATTGGAAACGACGAGAGGAAAATAAAAAAAAATAAATAAATAAATTATCAACGTAATTGATATTTGATTAAATATTACGTTCCAGATTTTTCAACGGCGGAATCAAAATTTATAGCTTTTTTATTTTTTATTTTTTAATTTCTCTCATCTTTTTCTTTTTTTTTTTTCTTTTTACCATCCAGAAGAATATTTCCCGCCTTTCATTTACATTTTCAACTTTCCTTTAAACGAAAAAACTGAAAGTGAAAGAGACGAAGCAGAAAAGAATGAAAATAGAAGAGACGAGGAGTTAGGAGTAGCACAAAAAAAAGTAATAATAATAATAATAATAATAATAATAATGTTAAAAACTGTAAAATTTTAAGCATCATTAATTTCCAACTTTTTTTTTCTTCTCTTATTTGGTCGATTGAAAACAGCAACAAATTGAACAATAAATAATTTTTTTTTTACTTGCTCCCCCTCTCTCTTTCGCCCCCCGTTTGCGCCCTCTCTCCTTTCTATCCGGAGCTTTGCCCTTCCTCCCGGGGGAAGGGAGAGGCGGGAGGCTTTACCTCCTCGCGTACGAATCGAAATCATTAAAATGTTTATCATCGTTTAATTTTCTCCATTTTTTTTCTTCTCGTCCTCCTTCTCCTTCTTCTTTTTAGGAATATTATATTCGGCATCGTTTCTGTTGCTGCCCGTTCGGTACTGTTTTGTTTCGAATGATTTTTGGCTCTTTTTTTCTGGAATCTTTTTCATCTCTCTCTGCCTTACTAGTTTATACATTTTCAGTGAGAAAGAAAAATTGTTTTTTTTTTTGGGGGGGGGGTAAAGTAATAATAATAATAGGGAAGGCCATTTCCGAAGACAACTGAAGAGCAAATGGGAACAGTAAAAGTTACATGGGCAATATCTAAAAAGAGTAAACGCATCAGATATTCACAAGAAAAGCATATGATCAACAAATCCACACTGATAGAACTGTGCCAGCTAACAAACCGGATATCATACTCAGGCATAATGCAGTGTAAGCTGATTGAAGTATCCGTGCCGGCAGAAAAAAACATCAGACAGCCAAAGAAGCAGACAAAGGCTGAAGTGGGGAGTAAAATCAGAAATGATTCCGGTCATCGGGGGAGCATCACCTGGAGCCATGCTACATCCAATAAAAGGAAATTAAAAAGAAGAAGCCATCCAGGAAATCGTACTATGTGGGACGGCCCACATTCATCGGAGAATATTATAAACAGCACCAACTTCGAAATTCGAGCATTTATCCCTAAGGAATCGTCGGGTAGAAACCTGGAATAAATGCTTAAAAACCCCGACAAATAAAAGCCTTGTCGTGTTTAAAAATGAAATAATAATAATAATAATAGCAAACAACAGAATTTAATTTTAGGTCCGTTTTTTTTTTTTTTTTTAATTATGGCAGATTTACAAGAGCGGTCGTGTCGGTAAAACGGAACGGAAAGAAAGAATCTATCAGACCGCATGAATTTCCTTCCGGAAATGAAAATTCACACGGTCTACCAATTCTAGTTGATGATACTTTAAAATTTCGCGGAGATGGGAGAAATGAAAAAGAGAGAGAAAGAGAGAGAGAGAAAGATGAAAGTGCCCCACGTAAAAAAAAAAAAAAAACTCGAAAGGGGAGAGAGTGAGAGAGAGAGAGAAAAAATACGGAGGGAGCAAGAAAATTATTTTTTTCTTGTTTTCGTTTCGATTCGTTTGAGAATGCAAGTTAAACGTTGGAATAACTTCCTGGTTACCTTTGTTTTGTTTTTTTTTTACCTTTTTTTACTTACCTTTGTCATTTTTTTCTTTCCTTTTTTTTATTCGTATATTAATTACTAAGAATTAAAAAAGTTTGTTTTCTTTCTTTCTTTTTTTTTTTTTTTTTACATTCAAATGCAAATAATTAAAATTGTAAAAAGGAAAAAAAATGAGTGTGGAAACGGATGAGGAGGGTGAGGGGGGTTGACTGCGAGGAGGTTTCGGTGAGTGAAATCCGGGTCCTCCAGGATGCTGTTGTGAAGAAGCGGACGACTCCGGGCCCGAACGGGATGCATTACGTGATTCTCGGCAAGTCTGCCGAAGTTATGGGTCCGCGCCTTTCGGTACTTTACACACCTTATGTTTGCAAACGTCGACGTTCCCCCGCCAATGGAAGGAAGCGAAGCTTGTGTTCCTTCTAAAACCGGGCCGCGACCCGTCGTCACCCAGTGCGTATCGATCAATCTGTCTTGATGTTGAGGGCAAGTTGTTTGAGCGCTTCATCGCGTCGCAGATTATCGTGCACCTTAAAAATGAGGATAAGAGGTATGGTCTTTCCTCGTACCAATTTGGATTCCGGGCCGGGCGTTCTACTACGGACGCGCTCATTCGAGTTCAAGATTTGGTGCAGGGAGCACTAAAAAGGGAGGCTTCGCCATTGCGATATCGATTGATGCCAGGCATTGCCTCTAAGATCACCCCTAGATATTTCAAGACTCCCCCTCCTTATCTCGGTTTCCTCCAGCTTTAAAGCCATATTCCGCGGAAGCGGATTCCACGAGCGTTTAATTTGGGACCGTGGAGGGCGATTTGGAAGGGTCTTGAGGCTAAGGTTGTGCCAATTTACTTGTGGGCAATAATAGAATCCTTTCCATCCGAATCGTGTTTTAGAAACCAGACGGAACTACGGGAAGGGGGGGCGTTTTCTGCGGCGTACCACAGAGGTCGGTACTTGGACTACTGCTGTGGACCATTGCATACGATGTCGGAACTGTTCTTCCTGAAGATGTATCGATCACGTGTTACGCAGATGACACTCTTCTACTGGCGATCGGTCGTGATTGGACCGAGGCTCGATAGCGCACCGAATTAGGTTCGGGTGCCAAGGTAGAGGCAATTCGTGGCATCGGTCTGCGGGTATTTTTATCGAAAAGAGAAGCCTTCGGTTTTCACCGTTCGCGGGACCCGCATCCGCGGAATCTGGTTTTAAAGCTGGAGGAAAGCGAGATAAGGGGGGGAGTCTTGAAATATCTAGGGGGGATCTTAGTGGCATTCCCTGGCATCGGTCTGCTGGTATTCTTACCGAAAAGAGAAGCCTTCGGTTTTCACCGCTCGCGACCCTCACAGACTCACTTCGGGACCCGCTTCCGCGGAATCTGATTTTAAAGCTGGAGGAAAGCGAGATAAGGGGGGGGAGTCTTGAAATATCTAGGGGGGATCTTAGTGGCATTCCCTGGCATCAGTCTGCGGGTATGCTTACCGAAAAGGGAAGCCTTCGGTTTTCACCGCTCGCGGGACCCGCATCCGCGGAATCTGGTTTTAAAGCTGGAGGAAAGCGAGATAAGGGGGGGAGTCTTGAAATATCTAGGGGGGATCTTAGTGGCATTCCCTGGCATCGGTCTGCGGGTATTCTTACCGAAAAGGGAAGCCTTCGGTTTTCACCGCTCGCGGGACCCGCATCCGCGGAATCTGGTTTTAAAGCTGGAGGAAAGCGAGATAAGGGGGGGAGTCTTGAAATATCTAGGGGGGATCTTAGTGGCATTCCCTGGCATCGGTCTGCTGGTATTCTTACCGAAAAGAGAAGCCTTCGGTTTTCACCGCTCGCGACCCTCACAGACTCACTTCGGGACCCGCTTCCGCGGAATCTGATTTTAAAGCTGGAGGAAAGCGAGATAAGGGGGGGAGTCTTGAAATATCTAGGGGGGATCTTAGTGGCATTCCCTGGCATCGGTCTGCGGGTATTCTTACCGAAAAGAGAAGCCTTCGGTTTTCACCCGCGGGACTTTCGCTCGCGGTTTTCGCTCGCGGGACCCGCATCCGCGGAATCTGGTTTTAAAGCTGGAGGAAAGCGAGATAAGGGGGGGAGTCTTGAAATATCTAGGGGGGATCTTAGTGGCATTCCCTGGCATCAGTCTGCGGGTATTCTTACCGAAAAGAGAAGCCTTCGGTTTTCATCGCTCGCGGGACCCGCTTTCGCGGAATCTGGCTTTAAAGCTGGAGGAAAGCGAGATAAGGGGGGAATCTTAAAACATCTAGGGGGGATCGTAGTGGCATTCCCTGGCATCGGTCTGCGGGTATACTTACCGAGAAGGGAAGCCTCCGGTTTTCACCGCTCGCGGGACCTGCTTCCGCGGAATCTGGTTTTAAAGCTGGAGGAAAGCAAGATAAGGGGGGGAGTCCTGAAATATCTAGGGGGGATCGTAGTGGCATTCCCTGGCATCAGTCTGCGGGTATTCTTACCGAAAAGGGAAGCCTCCGGTTTTCATCGCTCGCGGTACCCGCTTCCGCGGAATCTGGCTTTAAAGCTGGAGGAAAGCGAGATAAGGGGGGGAGTCCTGAAATATCTAGGGGGGATCATAGTGGCATTCCCTGGCATCAGTCTGCGGGTATACTTACCGAAAAGGGAAGCCTTCGGTTTTCACCGCTCGCGGGACCAGCTTCCGCAGAATCTGGCTTTAAAGCTGAAGGAAAGCGAGATAAGGGGGGGGGTCTTGAAATATCTAGGGGTAACCTTAGACTCGGGGCTTTTTTTCGCGCAACACCTGGCCGCTCTCGACTCCAAACTTCGGGCGACCAGCGCATCCTTGGGAAGACTAATGCCCAACCTCCGGGACCCGGGGGTAGTTACTAGGAAGCTCTATGAAACGGTGGTTTACTCCATAGCCCTGTACGGGGCTCCGGTGTAGGCCGAAGCCGTTTCCGAGTCTATACTCTTCAGGTGGAGAGCAATTCAGCTCCAACGGGCGCCTCTGAAGAGGATGGTAATGGTCTATAAAGATGTTGCCGCGAATGCTACTTGCGTTCTGTCGGGGACCTCTCCGCTCGATCTTCTTGCGTTGAAAGATCGCGCGCAGGGAAGATCGAGGAGGGGCGCGTTTCGTAAAGTTGTACGGGAAAAAGTTCTCGAGACTTGGCGGAAGCGGCTCGAGGACGGCCAGGAACTTTACGGGGGGAAATTGTCCGCGCGCTGGGTTCGCGGTTACCTGAAAGGGTGGGGCGTAAGCACGGAGCGTTGTCCTTTCCGCTCACGCAAATATTAATGGGATACGATGTCATTGGCTCGTACCTTGCGCGCATTGGCAAAGGAGAAACAACGGAGTGTTGGTTCTGCGGTGCGCTTGAGGACGATGTCGGTCACACGCTTTCGGAGTACCCGAGATGGTTCGATGACAGGCAACGCCTCGTTCAAGTTATTGGGGGATCTGACCATCGGGGGACTGGTGGAGGGTCTCCTTTGAGGTCTCAGGGAGTAGTCTGCGATCTCGCGCTTGCGGAAACGGTTTTCCGGAGAAAGGAGAAAAGGAGAATTGTGAACGTGAGCGTGAGATACTCGGGATCCACCGCCTACAATCGAATAAGCGGCGACAAAGAAAGTGCGAATGAATGAATGAGTGAATTTTTTTTTTTTTTTTTCGTACATCATTATCATCATATTTAATAGGGTTGTGCATTGTGTATTGTATTGATGGGGGTATCACAGTTGGGTGGAGCGGATCTCTGCGGCGGCTACGCCGGTGGGAGAATCGCTCTCACCCTCGCAAGTGCGGATCTGATAGTTCCGTCTTGGGTGGGGGGTTGAGGCTGAAATGCGGGTCATACTCCTGCGACCGCCCCTCCTCCCCGGGAGAAAAAATCGCACTGAAGCACATCCGGGAGTTTTAGTTGGGTAAAGGCCTCGGCTGAGTCCCACACTCTCCCTGCTACCGGGTGCGGAGGTTAGTGCGAAATGCATTTCTCCTGGGTTATCAAAAAAAAAAAAAAAAAAAAGACGGATGAGGCGGATGCAAACGCATAACGAATTTTAATTTTTTTTTGTTTTTACCAACAGGATAACGAGGCGAACGGTAAGAAGACGAAAAACGAAAATTTAAACGAAATAGCATGGCCGGCTGTATTACTAAGAGGAAACGGAGATATTTGTTATTTGGCCACGACATTGGATCCCGGTAAAAAGAGTAAATTCGAGGGTCCTTTGGTCATGTATCCTCCGGCCGATGACAATTACGGAGTGGAAGCTTGTTCGATATTGGTTTTAGACACGGTTCCGAACGTCGTGGTTGTCGCAACGTCTTCCGGAACGTTATATCATTCCGTCATGTTGAAAATCGACGAGGTATGACGACGACGACGTTCTTCGCGATTCGGCGAAGATGAAATTGGAAAAAGTAGACAATTTATATATTTATTTATTTTCAGAAAAGCGTCACGTCGACGAGTTCGTCTCACGCTCTTTACGTATTAGAATCCGTGGAATTAGAATTGGGTTTGCAATTGAACGACGATGATCCCTCGTACACGTGTCCGATTTTTTTACACAAAGACCCGATGTCGAGGTGGAAGTACTACAGTTTTCACAACACGGGTTTCCACGCCGTTTCCATTAGGTTCATATCGGACATTGAAAATTTTTTAGAAAAATCAACAGGCGATAGTTTTCAAACGGATCAACATTCGATCGTAGAATATTTGGTGTGCACTCGAACGAACGCGACTCCGACGTTGCCCGTTTTGGGTTTCACCATAATACCCACGACGAACGTGATACTGGCATTTTTATCCAACGGTGACGTAATAAGTTTACCGTTGAAAATATCGGAAATAATAACTCATCCGAAAATACTCCTGGACGATGTCGAAACGATAGAAGACAGCAGGAGCAGTCCGCTCAAAAAACTCCTACAGGAACCCTTTAGCGTTCACATAAAAAACGTGTTGAACAGAAACGTGAATCAACCCTTGGTCAAATTGGATAAAACGGTCAATTTATCGCCGCAAGAATCCCTGGACCTGATAAGCAGAACGACGAATCTTCTCCGCAAAGAATATTTCAATAAATTTCAAACTGTGAGAGACGAAATAGAGCAGAGGGTGACGTTGTTGACGTCGTTGCTGTCTCTTCACAGGGAAGAATTGAAACAGCTTGAAATGGAAAAAGGAAAACTCAAAGAAGTCGCGGAAAAATTGGCGGAAAAATACGAGGAAATCAAAGGTGGGTTATAGGAAGGAGTGATAGAGGAAGGGAGGGAAGGAAGGAAGAAAGGAGTGATAGAGGGAGGGAGGGAAGGAAGGAAGAAAGGAGTGATAGAGGAAGGGAGGGAAGGAAGGAAAAAAGGAGCGATAGAGGAAGGGAGGGAAGGAAGGAAGAAAGGAGTGATAGAGGAAGGGAGGGAAGGGGTAACAGAGAGAGGGGAGAAGGAAGGAAGAAAGGAGTGATAAAGGGAGGGAGGGAAGGAAGGAAGGTAGAAGTAATAGAGGGAGGGAGGGAAGGTTGGAAGGAAGAAGTAATAGAGGGAGGGAGGGAAGGTTGGAAGGAAGGAAGAAAGGAGCGATAGAGGAAGGGAGGGAAGGAAGGAAAAAAGGAGCGATAGAGGAAGGGAGGGAAGGAAGGAAGAAAGGAGTGATAGAGGGAGGGAGGGAAGGGGTAACAGAGAGAGGGGAGAAGGAAGAAAGAAAGGAGCGATAGAAGGAGGGAGGGAAGGGGTAACAGAGAGAGGGGAGAAGGAAGGAAGAAAGGAGTGATAGAGGAAGGGAGGGAAGGAAGGAAGGTAGAAGTAATAGAGGGAGGGAGGGAAGGTTGGATGGAAGAAGTAATAGAGGGAGGGAGGGAAGGTTGGAAGGAAGGAAGAAAGGAGCGATAGAGGAAGGGAGGGAAGGAAGGAAGGAAGGAGTGATAGAGGGAGGGAGGGAGGGAAGGAAGGAAAAGAGGGAGGAGGAATAAGGAAAAAGGCTTTACATTTTTTTTCTCTTTCTCTAATTTCAGACAAACAGAAATCGATAAACGAAAGAATCGAAGTCATGTTTAATTCCGTCCTTCAATTGGATCCCATAGAATCTATCGCGGAGAAAAAAATGAAAAACGAATTGATAGCGGTCAAAGACGAAGTTGAAAATTTCAAAGAATCCATACGAATGGTCAAAAAACAATTGGATTATCAATGGTTCAAGGTGAGACCCCCCCCCACCGACACCCGGTGGAAAGAACGAATCCGTTCGTTGGGTAAAACGATATTCGAACGTGATGAGAATTTTAACCATTTTTCTAATTTTTGCAGAAAGAAGAAAGAAAACAGGAAAAGCATAACAAAAACATTCAATTGGGTGGAAATCAAATAGAAACAATAAGAACGAGTTTGAATAAATCCTCCATGGAAATCGGTGACCTCGTCAAAGTGATAAACGCTATCAAAAAACAATTGAACATAACGGATGCGTGTTGAAGACATTTTCTTTTTTTCGATTTCTCAAACTATTAATACAATATCAGTCGAGTTTATCGTAAAACATGATAATGTTGTAAACAACAAACAATCGTTTCGAAACAATTTTTTTGACCGTTAATTTTTTAATGATTGTTCGATTTTGTATTATTGATAAAAACAAAAAATTCACAAGTCACGATTGTTTGTTTGTTTGTTTGTTCGTTCGTGTGTCGCATAACGTGCGGTCGTATGTACATAAAATTTTTTTTTTTTTTGTTTTTTCCTTTTCATTTTTGACTTTAATAATAAATTGAATGTAGTTTTTTAATTTTTTTTACTATTATTATTATTATTATTATATTCTAATGTAATTTTTATCATTATTATCACTTATAAGTATAATTATTGTATAGAAAAAAAAAAAAAGTTGAATTTTTATGTATCACTATGTATTTTTGTAATAAAAAAAAAAATTTATGAAATATAAAACATTGAGACAAAAATTTTATTCGAAACTGTTTATTACACATAACCTACTCATGAGAAATTTTTTTCGAAATGTTTATGTGTTACTACAATAAGAAATAATCAATTCATGTAAGTAAATTAATAAATGATGTTATTTAACTAGAAGAACACATAAAATAAATCATATTATATAAGAATAAATGTGTGAGACAATCGAATTACATTTATTATAATAATAAAAAAGAAAAAATTTTGTTTGTCGAGATGACATGTTTACAAAATAAATGTTTTTTATCTCAATTATTTATTGTTACCTTTTTGTGTTTAACCTTTGAGGTCGATGACATTCGACGTTGGCATGCTGTACATAAAACTAAAAATTCATAATAATAATAATTATTTTTGATGTGATAAAAAATTTTAATCAAAATGAATCATTTGACAGTATGGAGAATGGAGGAAGAATGGGAAAACAAAAAAAATTGTTAAAAAATTAATTAAATTTTTAGTTAAAACGCACAAAATAAACATTTAAGTGATTTTCAATTATTATTATTATTATTTAAGTAAAGGAATCACAAGAAAATAGAGAAAAAAATTAAGAAGAAGAAAAAAATCACAATTTTTTAACAAGGTGAGGTTATGTATGAAAACGCGACGACGACGTTCTATTTAAAATAAAATCACAAAATGTAATAAATAATAATAATAATAATAATATTTGTGTTCAAATTTGGCAAAAGTTAAAAAACAAAAACACTTTTTCAAGGTAATCAATGATAAAAATTTATAAATGTTTGTTTAAATAATAAAACGAAAACATTTTAACTTGAGGGAAAAAAAAAAAAGTCACCTGACTCGTACGTAAAAAAAAAAAAAAAAACAACTACTACGATGATCTTGAAAAAACAAAAAAAAAAAAATTAAAAAATAATAATAATGTAAAACTTTTTTTTTTTTCATTCGTTAATAAAAAATAACAGAGTTAATAACAATAATTAATTGTGTAATTAAAAGAAAAAGGAAACGGGACGACGTCATTAAAAGTTTTTATTTTTATTTTTTTCTAAATAATTTTTTAACGGTTTTTGTTTGTTTTCATCTATGTTCAATATGTTTTTCTTAATTCATCTCATGTTTTTTTTGAGTGCATAATTTTTTTTTTTTTGGATACCATTAAATAAATAAGGTAAATAGAAAAAAAATAGAAAAATTTATTTTAATAATAATAATAATAACAATAAACAACAACAACAGCAACAAGAAAAAAAAAAAATTTATTTTGTTTATAACGATGACGTTGTTGTTGTTGTTGTTTATGCTCGGCGGTCAAATATAAACATTTTTGCTCAATGTCATCACCGGCCTGATGGTCTAGGGGTATGATTCTCGCTTCGGGTGCGAGAGGTCCCGGGTTCAAATCCCGGTCAGGCCCAGTTGATTGTAAAATTTTTTTTTTTTTTTTTTTCCTCGCACATTATTAATTTTTTTTTTTCTTCTTCTTCCTCCCCCCCCCCCTCCCCCTCATTCCCCGTAGCAGGAGGTACGTCATCGGTGCAAGAAGAACTCGTCATGTGCATACTATTCATAAAATTTTTAAAATCCGCAAAAATCGGAGAATTTAAATTCATATTGGCAACGAATAGAGATGAATTTTTCAAAAGGCCTGGAAAACCGGCACATTTTTGGGAAGAAGATGGAAACATATTCGGAGGTATAATTCGCGAGATTCGTAACGTACCTTCCAAACGCTCTTTATTCGACTTTTTTTTTTTTTGTCAAAATTTCAGGTAGAGACATGACAGAAAATAAATCAGGTGGAACTTGGTTGGCCGTTTCTAAAAAGGGTAAAATCGGTGTTTTATTAAACGTGTCGCAAAAATCAAATCCCGATAAATTGGGTCGAGGATTTTTAGTTGCAAATTTATTAAAAACTCCATTGACGACAAAAGAATACATGGAAATATTAAAAATCGAAAAAGAACTTTACAATACTTATCATTTGGTATCAGCAGAATTCAGGTGAGTTAAATCGTGATACCTGCAAATCACGGTGGATTTATATCATCGATCCCTCCTCTCCTTTTTTTTTTTACTTTTCCAGTCCCCAAGGAAATTTATTACATTATTCGAATGGTAAAAGTAACGAAAACGTAATAACGGAAATAGATAGCGAAGTATTTGCATTGAGTAACAGTTCGATGGATTCGCCATTTCAAAAAGTTATCAAAGGTAAACAAATATTCAACGATATTTGTTCAAAATATAAAACAATAAAAGATAAAGATAAACTCATATCTGAACTATTGACCTTTTTAAAATGGGATGAAAAACATTATCCCGATACCGTCATCGATTCATTCAGTCACATACCTGAAAAAATAAAACCTAATTACAGTGCTATCTTTGTTAAAATTCCAACTTCTTATTATGGAACGAGGTAAGAAGATTTTTTTTTTCTCTATTTGTATGACGTCATATTCTCTATCCTTATCATCGATGACGTTTACTATTTTTTTAGAACTCACACGATTATTCTCGTCGATTGGGAAAATAAAGTAGAATTTCACGAATGGACGCTCGAAGAACCCATACTATCGCAAAATGATAGTAAATGGATCGAAACCCATGAAAAATTTAGTTTTGAACTTTGACCCCATTTAACTAACATTATTATTATTATTATTATTTATTTTATTCCATATGTGAAAACTACTACCATGATGATAATAATAATAATAATAAATTTTGATTGTTGTTAAATATAAATAAATTTATTTTGTTAATAAAAACTTGGAACTTGTTTGTTTTCCTTTTTTTTTTTTTTTGTTAACCCGCGAGAAATGAATTTTGAACTAACCTCCCCACCCCACCCCCGGTAGCAGGGAGAGTGTGGGGGACTCAGCCGAAGAAGCCACTACCAAGAAAACAAAAAAAAAAGAAAAAAAAATGAAGAAAGAAATCCAATACAACTAACGTCGACAAATAAATAAATAAATAAAAATTAAAACGCAAAAAAAAAAAATTACAAATTTATATTTATGAAAAAAAAAAAAAAAAAAAAAAACAAAAACAAACGAACAAACAAACAAACAAACCAAAAAAAAAAAAAAAAATTTGTAAATTGATATACAACAAACGTCAACGACCCGATTAAAAAACAAAATTATTTTCACGAATTTTTTTTTTTTTTAATGAAAATAAAAACCGAACCAAATTTTTTTTTAATTTTTCCTTACCCGCCCCCCTCTTTCCCTTCCCCTCGTAATTTTTAATCCGATCGGCGCGGCCCTTCCCTCTTTTTAAATTTTGCCGCCATTTTTTTTTTTAAGTACTTTTGCTCATCTTATATATATATATATATATATATATATAGTAATAATAATAATAATAAATGCAATTTTATTCGATTTGAAAGGGGAAAAAAAAAAAAAAAAAAAAAAAAAAACGGAAAAACCGTAAAGCATCCGGAAAGACTAGACGAAGATGTTAATAATAATAATAATAATAATAATAATAACAACAAAATATCATTTTAAAAAAAAAAAACGTTTGATTAATACAATAAGTACGAAAATTCTCCATCTTTTTTTATTTTTTATTTTTATTATTAAATATAAATGCAAATCAATCAATCACGGAAACGATAAACTGCGAGACCGGAAATAAAAGTTAAAAAATTTTCAAACCCCCCCCCCACCCCATACCACCCTCGCTCCACCCCTAACCCTAACTTTTAAAAAAAAATGCACAACCTCTCGAATGACGATAATAATAATAATAATAATAATAATAACGGGATTCAAGTACTATTACGCGAATTACAATTTAAATTTTAAAAAAAATGATCATTCCATTATTATTATTATTATTATTATTAAAATAAATAAATAATAATAATAATAATGATAAATAAATAAATAAAAACATTAAGTACCAATGATAATGATAATATTGATCCGTTCTTGGTAAAATCTTTCAAACCTTACAGAAAAGGTTTTCATTTTTAAAATAAAAAATTATTTTCGTTTTTCCAACGAAACAACCAACCGATCGATCGATCGATCCATATATCGATCGATCGATCGATCGATAAAATTAAATATAAAAAAATAATAATAATAATATTAATTAAAAACAAATTACAAAAAAAAAAAAAAAAAAAAATAATACAAAATAATAGATAGATTGTAAATAAAAAATAATAATAATAATAATAAATAGACCGTTAAAGTGTGTGTTTGTATGGGCGCGCGCGTGTGAGTGTGTACGAATTAAAATTTTTTTTTTTTGTATTTTTTTTGTTTTTTGTTTTTCTTCCTGGTTTTCAATTCCTTAAATCCTTGATCGCCATCAACTGGCCGTGTTGTTGTACACAGGTCTGCCGGCAAGTTCCAATAAGTACCTGTCTGGATGATCGACCCATTCGGCCGCGTTTATTTTCACGACCCTTTGTTTTTCCGCTTCTTTTATTTCCCATTTTTTAATTTCCAATTGTGCTTCCCTGAAGGTCAATCATTCAAACAAACCCCAAGCAAACCAAAAAAGAAAAGAAAAGAAAAATTAAAATCGAATGAATGAATGGGGAGGGGGAGAAGGGGGGGGCGGGAAAAATCAAATCACCTTTGCTCGGGTTTTCCGCATCCCCAAACTTCAACGCTTATCAAATGATAAGGGATTTCCTTGTACGTCACCTTGTTGAAATCTTCGTTTACGACTATGGCGGGTTTCCTAGGATCGGAGCCTGCTCGGATCCCTTTCGGGTACCCCCTAATACTCGTGTTTAAATATAATATTTTCGGACCACCTGAACAAAAAATGAGGAAAAACATCTTAATTCGTTTGTTTCCTATCTCTCTATTAATAACAATAATAATAATAATTCTTATTATTTTTTTTGTTTCTTCAAGGTTTCTCCCTCTCTCTCGCGCACGCGCGCGAACGGGTAAAGGTCGCGTTTTTTTTTTATTCCTTTTACGTTTCTCAAAGGTCACGACCAAATTTTTTACTATTTTTTTTTCCGCCTCCTTCTTCGCAAAGAACGCGTGCAAAATTTTTTTTTATTTTTTGATTCCCCCTTTTCAACTTACGCTCGATGACGTGATATTCTGGCAATAGCTGCATGATGACACAGTTTTCTTCTCCTCTGTACTGGTGAGATTCCTTCCATTCCGAACTAGAACCCAACATGAATTCGACTCCTCCCTCGCCCCTCAGAAAAACGAGCGTGGCTCCCCTGTAATTAAGTACGTGAGTCAAAAACCGATTGGCTCCGAGTCCTTGTGAATTACTGTTGTACAAAGGGACCCAATGCGATGGAAAAACCGAGCCAATCTAAATAAAAATAAAAAAAATTTTTTACAACCGCTCGAACAAAGTTGAAGTTGTCGATTACGCAAAAAAAAAATTCGAAGGGGGAGGAGGGAGGGGAGGGGAAAGGAAACAAAGAAAAGAAAAAAAAAAAAATTCAAACCATTTTAACGAGTATGAGATGACTGCTTTGCGATGTGATACCGTTCGAACTCGTCGATGGAGTCAATTGCTGTGGTTTCGTGAACAGAGGAGGTAACGAGGTCGCCAGCAACCATACTTGACTTAGGGGAAGACTAACGGAAGAATTATCACCGGAACTACTCGTCGTAAATGTAAAAGACTTGTCCAAAACGGGAGTCGTCAATTCTAAACCCTGGACGCGATGACGACACGAAAACAAACAAACAAACAAATAAAAACATTTTATTAAAATAAATTAACCCGGTAAAAAAAAGAAAATGGAAAATGAAAAACCACTTTACGTTACCACTTGCTCCGTTTGCGTAACGTTTTGTCCGGCCGTTCTATAAGCCGTCGTAAGTACATGCACCACGTATTTGTGAACGCCGGAAACGAGTTTGGGACAGTGAACGCCCAACCAATGTGCAGCAAACGGAACGGAAACGTTTTCTTTTCTGTGAAACTAAAAAAATTTCCCGATGTCCCCGAACGGATAAATAACAACAGTAATGATGATAATAATAATAATAATGATGATAGACTTACGGTCGAGTCGATAACGGCTTGAACCGTCCTGTATATTTTTATACACGTTTGAGCACCTTCCGGGTAATGATCCATCGCTAACTTATACGCCGTCATTATCAAATCCCTGTAATTTTCTCTACTGATTTCCGGATTGCAAGCTGCGAACATCTGTAAAAAAAACAACAACAACAAACTCGGTGGAGGTTCGGTTTGTTCGTTCGTTTGTTGAACAACAAACAAAAAAAAAAAAAACAAACCTTAACGTAAACTTCGATGAGAGACTCGTCGGAAATGACGGATAACAATTTGTCTACTTGTGACTTGAATGCGGATTGAGATATCCTGTCGACCGTCGTGGATCCCGACGAGTAGTGTAGGTAACCGAAGAGCCTCAGGGATAAATCTGGATACCTCGGAAACAGAGTGCTCTGAAAATTTAATTTTTTTTTTTTTTGGTTTTTTTTTATACTTTCGAGACAACAACAACAAAAAAAAAGTCATAAACAGAATCGATGTGTCGATTCCCGTAAGTTTCATTCCGGAAATTATGCTCACGGTAAATGCACGGCACGTGATACCCTGTACGGAATCTTCTTCCACGCTCTTCTGCATTAGTATCTGCAACAACAACAACAACAACAACAATCAGAAAATTAAAAAAATGAATATGAATGAGATTTTTTATTCAAAGACATGTTTCTCTATTATCTGTGATAATTAATTATTCTTAAATTATTATAAATAAAAAAAAAACCAGAAATGACTTTATAAAAAAACCGGAAACAATCACAACAACAACAAAAACAAACAAGAAAACAAACAATTTTTCCATTTAAAAAAAAAACAACAAAAAAACAGCAAACGAACTTCATTCATCATAAAATAAATCACCATCATCATTATTATTTCTTGTTTTTTTTTTTTTTTTGTTTTTACCTTTTTAGCAGAAGAAAAAATTTTATCGAAGTTCATTTTACCACAACTAACTCGCGATAACTATACCAAACGATAATAATAATAATAGTAATAATAAAAACCCGCGATTTCGATTTCGTACACGTTCGATCGATCGATCGATCTATATAGGATTCCAGGTGTGTGCGTGTGCGTGTGCGTGTTTGCCTACGGTTTGATTACTAAGCATTCGCTTACTATTTAACCTTTACATTTCCCTCCCGAATTTCGATCATGTGACTAAAAAAAAAATGAAAAAATGAAGAAAGAAGAAAACAAAACCTTCCCACGCCTGCCTGCCTGCCTCTCTCTCTCTCTTTCTTACTTTCTCTTTGGGAAAAAAGAAAAACTTTTCAATACGAAATCGATTTACCCCCTCCCCTTTCCCCCCACGAAACCATTATTCCATCGGGAAAATTTTTTTCGTGTTTTCCTCAACGATAACAAATTTACTTAAAACAACCGCCACAACAACAACAACAACAACCGCAACAACGATAAATGAAAAAAAGTTTTAACAAATTTTTATTTTGCGCACCAGATCGACCGACATTACCGAAGAAAGCAGAAGAAAAAAAAAAAATTTGGTAAAACCTGGTGAAACTTTATCGTTTTTTTTTTTTTTTTTTTTTTTTTTGATACCTTATCAATTTCTTTCGTAAACATAAACGTACAAAAATTTCCTTTAAAAAGAAAATTTTTATTTTTCAATACAAACCTCTCTCTCTCTCTCTCTCTCTCTCTCTCTTAATTTCAAATCCGGAAAATTGTTATTATAAGCTAACGACGGAAATAAATAAAAAAAAAAAAAACAAAAAAAACTTTCGAAACTTCCTTCGCACTTGAAAAAAAAAAAAAATAATAATAATAATAATTAACGAAACCAGAAGAAAACACGTTTAAGACAAAATGAAGGAGAAGAAGAAGAAGAAAAAGAAGAATTAAAAGCAGAAGACAAATTAAAATAAAAAAAAAAAAAAAACAAAGTCGCGAGGATTTCACCTGTTAAGTCAACAAAATAAAAAATTTAACTTTAACACCTGAAGCATCATAAATTCAAACAAAACAACAACAACAACAATAATAATAATAATAATAAAATCCACTCGATTTAAAAAAAAATAAAATTTCAATTTTTATAATAATAATAATAATAATAATAATTGATTTTTTTTTTTATTTTCCCAAGCGGCGCTTTCACTTTTTATCCAGTTTACCCGACTCAACAACAAAATTAAAATTTTCTTTTCACATCAGGAGAGAGAGAGAGAGAGAGAGAGAGAGAGAGAAACAAACGGGAAAAACAAACAACGAATGAAATTTCTTATTCGCAAAGACTTGAAACGTGCGTGTGTGCGTGTGTGCGCGCGTGTGTGTATCGAAATAAACGCGAACCAAAACTGACCATTCTTCATCTTCATCTTCTTCTTCTTCTTCTTCTTGTTTTTGACCTCGACAATCTCTCGATCGATGGACTGGCTAACTGCCTGACTTGGCCTGGCCTAAACTTTTTTTTATTAAAAAATTCGACTTGTTGCCGCGGCGGCGGCGGTGATGGTGACCACCATCACCATCACAACCATAACCACTCGTACTCTCGACAAACCAAAATCTTTCGTTAACTTGTTTGTTGTTGTTGTTGTTGTTACTTCTTTTGGAGGAAAAAGCAGGTGTTTATTTTTATTTTTTTTGGTAATCAATCGAGTACCTACTAGCTAACTACTCTACGCCTTTGAAAACATATCAAGTTCGACCATTTGAATGCTTTCCGTTACTACCTCCGCGCATTAACACGCACACACATCCCTTCTTCTTCTTCTTCTTTACTTTTCTCTTAATCTGTGTCAGTACCAATTAAATATTTTCACTTTGACAATTAAATAAAAAATTTCAACTTTCCAACACAAATCGATAAAAGTCATCGTCATCATCATCATGGTTCACTATCGTCATTGATGGTCTATAACGCTTGTATACCTTTTCACTACTTGACTTTTTACAACACCTGAATGTGTTTCTCTCTCTCTCTCTCACTCTTACATTTATTATTATTATTATTATTATTAACATCAATCATTGGATTACATGCGACGCATAAACGTGTTTGTAAATTTTTTATTATTTTTTTTTTTTTTTAAACAGAAATTCATTCCATTTGTAACCGAAAATATTTAATAATAATAATAATAATTTACCTGAAAATTATTTAACTAACAACTAACGAAACAACGCAAAAAAAAAAAAAAAATTAAGTGAGAGAGAGAGAGACAGAGAGAGAGAAATGGAATAGGAAAAAAAAAAACAAAGACAAAAAAATTTTTTTTTCTCCCCCTCTCTCTCTCTCATTAATTTTGAAATTATTATTATTATTATTATTATTATTATTATTATTTTAAAAATCCGTGTAATGAAATATACATTCAAATATTTATTAAGTTTAAATTACAAATAAAAAAAAAATTTAAATTTAAATTTAAATTTAAATTTTTTAGTTTTAACAACCTTGATTCGATATCAATTCTCAAACAACAACAATCAATCTCACAATTTGCCAGAGGTAAACATTTAAATTTCCTCCTCGACTAAATTTACATACATGTGTGTGAGAGAGAGAGAGAGAGAGAGAGAGAGAGAGAGAGAAAGAGGAAAAAACAGTTTCACACCTGACTTACCACAATATGAAAGATAATGACAAAGAATTTTAATTATAATTATTTTTTTTTAAAGCACATAATCGATCACATGGGTTCGATTACAATGGATTCGTGTATTGAACGAGTATAATTTTTCAATCAAATCAAATTAAAAAAGTTTAATTATGTATATATTATCTTAAACCACTTCAAAGTTCCCCCCCCCTTTGTTTTTTAAACAACTAACTATTTATATTGATCTGTTAATTATAATGTCATATTAAACTTTCATTAGTATTGTTTTCGATATAATTTTTCTTTTCGTTTTCTATTGTAAATGATAAAATCAATGAGATTCGATTTCTATTTAAATTAATATTATTATTATTTTTTCAGGTATGAATTAATTAATTAAATAAGGTACAAATTTAAAATTAAACTTTTAAACAGTATGTGTGATTAATAATATAATGAAAGAACAACGACAACAGCAACAACGACAAAGAAACGAATAAAGTAAAACCAAATCAGGGTATCTATTTTTAATTTAATTCTTATTATATCATTAAATCTTATCTGATAATTGTTACCAAGAGTTATAATCACTTTTTTTTTTTTTTTGTAAAAAAATGTCTACATTTTTTCCTTAAAAAGATTTTTTTTTTTAAACAAAAGATTATGAAAGTGTAAGAAAATAATACAAATTAATTTTTACTTTATCATGTTTAATCGTTAAAGAATTTATCGAGAGAAAAAAAATTCTACTGAAAAAAAGAAAAAATGTTCATAAACATTCGACAGAAGAATGAAAAAACAATCAAATCAAATTATTTAACTTAAATAAAATAAAAATTAAAATAATATTGGCAAGTTTTGAAGGTTAGAATTAAAGCCATATGTTTTGTTCATTTTGTGATAAATGTGCCTCATTAAATAATTATCAATACAGGAAGTACGTTTAGCCAATGTTAAAAAGAAATAATGATGATGATGATAATGATGAAACAAAAGTTTCTTTTTTTTTTTTTTTTCATATAAACAACCATCAATGTTAAATTTGTTATGTTATGTATTTTTTTTTTACCATAATTGAAATGGAAAAATCGTATTTTGAATACAACTCATTAAAATTATAACGACGGAATAAAAAAATAAATAAAATTTTCTTGTAATCAATAATTATTAACAAAGACCTTGCCTTCGTAATTATTTTTAAAGCTGACATATATACATCAATGTGAGAGAGAGAGATAGATAGAAAAATAAAAAACTTACCTTGGTTAATTTATCAACTGGAATTATCGTCGTCGGGGATTTTTCCTGCATGTCCACGCCTGAATTAGTTCTAGATAAAATGGGTTTTATTATGTGCATGCTGCTGCTACTGTTACTGTGGTGATTTCCCATTTTTACAAAAAATTTAACATAAAACCATTAGTATTTTGAGCCGACAGATCACCGACTAAGGCCAGCAATATGGCGACTAAATATTTTCAACCGTTGCACAAAAAAAAACGCAGATAAAATTGTTTGAAAACTTTCGCCGTAAAAACCAAACCGCGTTTTTATTTTTTTTTTTAAGAATAGGCAACTTGCATTACATGAAAGCACATTTTTTGCCTATTTTACAAATGTCGGGCTCATTAGTACAAACAACGGACATTTTCCAATAAAAAACAAAGAAACATCTTGTTAATTAATATTTTTTCTATATTTTTTCTTTGTTTTTTTAAATAAAATAATGAGATCAAAGTTTTCCACGCATGTTTTCCACGACGATAATAAAACAAATATAAAAAAAAAAATTAAATACGAAAAGTACGGGGAGGGGGAGAGGGAAAAAATTTGTTACTTCTTATTCACGTGTTCGATTGCGTTGTATTTAATTGTAATTGACCGGAATGTATGGATGGTATGTCGACGCTTAAATTTAACATTTCAGACGAAACCTGACTGAAACCGAAAGCTTCGGAATCGTCTAAGAAAGCATCAGGTTCCTCTTGAGTATTTTCAACATTATCACCCTTTGACAAACTAACAACGGGTTCGTTCGAATCGAATATTTTCTTATTATCCGTATTTGAAAATTTAACGCTGCTTTTAATTTCCGGTTCCGTTCCGGATTGTATGTCAATATTAGCAGCCGTTCGTGATGAAAATTTCGACACGGATTCCCACGAACATTTCGATAGGGTATCTATGAGTGAAACAAATTCTTTTGTCGTTTCTATATTTGGCTTTTCCGTAACGTCGAATTTTGCATCGTACATCCACATTCCCAAAAATAAATCGAATATTTCAACGACGGAAAATATTTCCAAAACTGTAAATAATAATAATAATAATAATAATTAATTATCATATCGTTATGCGAATAGGAAATGAAAACATTTTTTTAATATTATTATTATTATTTCATTATTTAAATGGAGCATGAAATATTAACAACGAGGGGCGTTTATCGAATCATTTCGACCGTTAAAAATAATAAAAATTATTCTTTCTTACGACAAAGTAAAAATATCGTCAAATAAAAAATCATCCATTTTGTATCTTCCAAACAAAATCCATAAGTGTAATTTGTTAAATTTGACATATCGGTTAAAAGTGTTATTAAATTATCTGTTTGTACGAATAAAAGACCTTTAACCGTCAGGTACAACCATGGTAAAAAGTAATAAGGATTCGACTGTAAAAAAAAATTCATTAATAATAATAATAACAACTCTTAACTCTAAACCTCCCCCCACGAAAAACATATTTTTTTTTTTTTTTACCTTTTTTATTCCTAATAAAAGGAGTGACGTAGCTATAACGGATATTATGGGAGATGATATGACGACGAACGCCTTTAAAACTATTTCCCCCCCCCCCAAAAAAAAAAAAAATAATAATAATAAATAAAATTTTATTGATAAAGAAACAAAACGAAAACAAACAAAAATCGTTTCGGGTCATTTAAATTTTTCTTAATTTTATTTATTTATTAAAATTTTTTTTTTTCATTTCCTTTATTTATTTATTTATTTATGTATCTATTAATTCTTTTTTTAAAAATTTAAATTTTAAAAAACCGTTAAAAACTTACCGCATTTAAAATTATCCGGCGTTCCGATCGAATATAAAAACCAATAATCTTTATTTGGTATCAATGATGGCGACGATTCGTGACCCATTTCTTTGATTACTTTAAATTGTGTCTCGCATAATATAAGAGTCAACTGAAAGGCGATCGTATTAGTAATAATAATAATAATAATAATAATAATAATAATAATAATAAAAGCCAACGGCCATAGCGTGCTGGTCACACCGGTTCCCGTACGATCACCGAAGTTAAGCAGCATCGGGCGTGGTGCAAACTTGGATGGGTGACCGTCTGAAAACGCCACGTGCTGTTGGCTTAAAAGAGCAAAAAAAAAAAAAATGAGAACAAGACAAAGTAAGAACCAAAAAACAAATCTTGTTCTACTGTCGACCTGAGGCAGCTCGACGAGAACGTGAATTTCACTGCTTCTGACCCTGGCCACTCCAAAGATGTTAGTCACTGGAGCCCAGTTCAGAAGACAAATCGTTCCCATCGAATAAGATGGACTCAGGAAGACCTTCAAGAATTGATGTGGTGCTATCTTATAATAAGTGGCACCACCGAAATTCGAGTATTTGTCCCTAAGGAATCGGGTAGAAACCTCGGATAAATACTTAAAACCCCCGACAAGTAGCCTTGTCGTGTTTAATGGTGGACAATAATAATAATAATAATAAATTAATAATAATTTATTTTCCTCATGCGAAACCTTGATATTTACTTATTTATGTACACTTGGAAAGCTTAAAAAAAAAACGATTATTATTAACATCATTGATAATAATAATAATAATAATAATAATAATAATAACGATGATGATGATGATAGTGTATAAATACATTCGGTTTATTTATGTAATTAAAATTAAATTCTGGGGGTTTTGATAACAGTGATAAGGATTGGCATACTTACAAAACAAAGTCCAGCAACTGTTGGTTTTGGTAATTTAAGACTTTGGACGGTGAATCTCTTTTGATTTGTCATTTTTATAAAATTTTTTTATTAAAAAACCTGAAAAATAATAAAATAAAAAATTACGCACGCACACACGCACGAACGCACGCACACACGCACGAACGAACGCACGCGTTAATCCGAAAAAAAATTTTTCTTACGTACAAACTATAAATAAATTTACCTGAAATGTTTTTTTTATTATTATTATTTATGTATTATTGAGTTGTAAAAACGTTTATAAAAAAAGCAAATGATAATAATAATAATAATAATAAAATTTGATTTCGATGAATTAAATAAATTGATTGATTGATTGATTGATTGATTGGTAAAAAAAAAACAAAACGAAACGAAAAAGGAAAAAAAAACAAAACGAAAAAAAAAAAAAACAAAAACAATTTTATATTTAATTTTTTTTTATTGTTTATATTTTGTGTGTGTGTGTGCGTATTATTTAAAAAAAAAAGTTTTTTTTTATTTTGCTGTCGTCCTTCTTCGTTTTTGCTACTGTTCAAAAAAATTTTGGCGGGAGTTTTTTAGAAAATTATTCGTTGATTGACGAGTGAATTTTTTTATTTTTATTTTTTTATACGCTGGAAGAAAATGATAATAATTATTGTACGAAGATGTTTACCACCCTTTTCCCCCCCGGATACACGCGCATTTATACGCATAATTATCATCATCATCATCGTCATCAGCATCATTATTATTATTATTATTCGTATTCGTATTAGAAAAACATTAAAGTCAAAAAAAAAAAACTTCTGTCGTCCCGTTTGTTCGATCCCGTATGTTTCTGTTGCGGTTTAATTAATTTAATAATTAAACGACAAGATGATAATGATGATGATGATGATGATGATGATAATGATAATGATGATAGCCTTGTCAAAGATTTATTTATTAAAAAAAAAAAAAGAAAATCTTCTTACAAACAAATTACGATGTTTGTCCTTATTTTTTATGTTAATTATTTTTATTTATATATATTCAATAAAAAAAAACAATTTTAATATTCAACGAACGTCAATAATTAAAAAAATAATAATATTAATAATATCAATAATAATGATAATCATAATATTAATAATAATAATAATAATTTTTCATTTTATTTTATTTAAAAATTTTAAAGTATTTGACCCGAACGAACGAGGCGGGGTCAATTTTTATTTTTATTTTCACGCTCTTGTAATAAACTTCCAAATTTATTTTATTATTATTATTATTATTATTATCATCATCATCATCATTATTATTATTATCGAATACAGAATAAAAAAAAAAAAAGAGAGCGAACAAAGAGAAAAACAAAATTTTAATCGTTAAAAATTTTTTTTTGTATTGAAAAAAACTTAAATTTTTAATGTTTTCCACGTCTCAGGTTCGAGCCTGTAAGAAGGTTTTAAACGATAATAATAATAATAATAATAATAATAGAATTTTATTCGAATTTCTCGTCGCGAAAGACATAACAATAATTTGTAATCCTGTCGTAATCGTCGTCGACATTTTTTCATTTTTTTTTTTTTCGAAGAAAACTTTTTTGTAAAGAAAAACGTTTTACTTATTGAATCTTTTACCTATTATTATTATTATGAATGTTACGTTCTTCGGTGGGGGAAGGGGGAAAGAAACAAAAAAAAACGAGAAATTAAAATTTATCGTAATTTGCAAAACAAAAATAATAATAAATTATTGTAGGAGGCGCGCGCGAAAAGGGCAACATTTGAATAATAATTATAAATAATAAATTTATGTATTTTCTTATTATTATTATTATTATTAATAACTTTATTTATTGATTTTAATCCAACATAATACGAAGGACGTAATTATTACGATGATAATAATAAAATTAGGCACAACAAAAATTTAAAAAAAAAAATTGAAATATACGATTTTGATAGTGTTAAAAAAAGAAAAATTCGACTTCTATAATGACCTAGTATGCGATATAAATAACACGTTTAAATCGATTTTTTTATAATAAATTTTTTTTATTTTATTTTTCCTAGTGGGGCTTTATTAAGTTTAACGTTAATAAAATTTCATTTTTTTTTATTAAATTACTTATTAATTAAAATAATTTTAAAAAAAATAAAATAGTAAAAAAAAATTTGACATAAATTTTTGAGCGACCCGTCGCAAAAAAAAAAAAAAAATAAAAACAAACGGAGAACTATTTTACCTACCCTGAAATTAAAATTTTCACATAATAATTATTCTAAGAAGAATATTTTAGTAATGGATTTTTATACGCCCGATAAATTCATTTTATAATTCTCGTTTAAAAAAAAAAAGAAAAATTAATAAATAATAAAATGTGAACGCACAGGATTCGATCGGCATTTAAATTTCAGATTTAAAACAAAATCATTTGATTTGAATTGATTTGAAGTCATGGCGGATTTAAGTCACACGGAAAGTCTTGAAAAAATTTTAGAAAAACACATACCGGAAAATGAATTGAAAGAAGTTAAAAGAATTTTATACGGAAGAGAATTACCGTAAGTATTTTCATTTTTCTCTCTCTCTCTCTACAAAAATTAATTTTTAATATTCGTGAATTATTCTACGGTTATTCAGACCATTGGAAATACCGGCGGAAGCTCAGGGACTATCGGAAAAACATGATTTTGAAATTCAAGGTTATAAATTTCCCGCACCCGTTGAAGAATTGAGAACACCGAGAGTAGTTAGAATTGCCGGAATACAAAGTAAAATCGTTTTACCCACAACGGCCAATTTAAAAGAACAAAGAGATGCGATACATAATAAAATTGGTAAAATAATCGAAGCTGCTTATCATTGCGGTGTTAACGTCGTTTGCATGCAAGAATTATGGAGTAAGTTTTTTTTTTAAAACGTGTACCATCTTGTTTTTATTACGTCACGACATCAATTCGATCGAAGATGCACAAAAAAAAAGAAAAAAAAATTTTTTTTTAAATCGGTTGGAAAATTTCCAGGCCGTTAAACATGATTTATTACTATTATCATTATCATTATTATTAATTGTTTTTATTTTAAGATATGCCCTTTGCCTTTTGCACTCGTGAAAAATTTCCATGGTGTCAATTTGCGGAATCTGCTGAAAATGGACCGACTACGTTGTTCCTACAGGAACTCGCAATCCGTTACAACATGGTCATATTATCCTCGATAATGGAAAGAGATGAAAATCATGGTGACATGTTGTGGAATGCAACCGTCGTTATTGATAATCACGGAAAAGTTTTGGGAAAACATCGTAAGAATCACATACCGAGAGTTGGAGATTTTAACGAAAGCAATTATTACATGGAGGGTAATTCGGGACATCCGGTTTTCCAGGTTTTTCCCCCATTTTTTTTCTTCTGGATTTTCATTTTATTTAAAAAAATTTTAATGATGATGATGGTTTTCTTTTAGACCGAATTCGGAAAAATCGGAATAAATATTTGTTTCGGACGTCATCATCCACAAAATTGGATGATGTTGGGTCTTAACGGTGCGGAAATTGTTTACAATCCGAGCGCGACCGTCGGTCACGTGAGGTTCGTTTAAAATTTAAAATTTTCCTCCCATTTTCCTTCTCCAGAGCCTAAAATAACTTTTTTTTTTTTCGTTCGAAAATATAGCGAACACATGTGGGGTATAGAAGCGAGAAATGCCGCCATTGCTAATAATTATTTCACCGTCGCCATTAACAGAGTCGGAATCGAACATTTTCCGTTTGAATTCACTTCCGGTGATGGTAAACCGGCACACAAAGATGTCGGTTACTTTTACGGTTCGACTTTTGTCACCGGACCCGAAGGATCTCGCACGCCGGTAAAATTATCATTGCTATATCTTATTTTACTACCTCCCCGCCCCTACACGTCACCCGAATTTACGTAATAATAATAATAATAATTGATTTATTAGGGTTTATCGAGAACTAGAGACGGTTTGATGATTGCCGAAATCGATTTGAACGAGTGTCGACAAGTAAAAGATTTGTTTTCGTTCAGAATGACTCAAAGATTGGAACTTTATGCGGATTCTTTCAAAAAAGCTTCTCACATTGATTACAAACCACAAATCGTCGAATGAAAAAAAATTATTATACCTTCTTATCAATTTTCTTTTTTTTATATAAAACGTTATCATCAATCACGAATTTATAATATATATATATATATACTTATATAATTTTTTTGAGAAAATTTTTTTTAACCTTTGACCTAATTAACTTTTCTTTTGTACTCCCCGTACGTAAACAACTCTACCAGTTTATTCGTACGCATATGTGCGCATACAGATAATTCAAACAAACAAAGAAAAATTCGTTTTTAACGCGAGGGAGAGAGAGAGAGAGATGGGGAGAAAGAGAGAGAGAGAGAGAGAGAGACAGGGAGAGAAGAGAAAAGAAATTGAATCGTTTATTGATTGATTTCATTTTTTTTTGTAATTTCATAGCAGACGCACTTTTACATTCACATCAATGATAATAATATTATTTATAACGATAATAATAATAATAATAATAACGACGACGTCATCACACGGAGAGTGAGAAAGAGAGAGAGAGAGAAAAAGATAGAATATAATATTTGCTGGACGGGGAAGAAAATCCGGTTTTCAATTTTTTTTTTTTCTGAAAAATATTTTTTTTTTTACTTTTAATAATAATAATAATAATAATAATAATAATAATAATGATAATAATAATAATAATAATAACATTTTCAAGTATCCACGTTTAGATATGAATACAATCACACAACGCTCTCCCTTAAGCAACAAAAAAAAAATTAAACACGTAATTTTTACAAGAGTTCATTATTATTCCTCATTTTAAAAGTCGTTAATATCAGTATTATTATTATCATTATAATCATCACGACTGATATTTTCTCTCTCTCTCTGACCCTCTCTTTCCACTTTCCCTCTCCCATTCCCCCATTAAAATCTGACAAACTCGATAAACCTATTTTAAACCTTTCTTAATGTGAACAATAATTGTAATAGTATAATAATAATAATAATAATAATGACAAAAACGATGATTACGACGATGATGATGATGATGATGATGGAAATGAATAATGACAATAACTTCAAAATTAACTGACTTGTATCATTATTATTATTATTATCAATCATGAAATTTCCCCTCCCCCCCATTCCCCGGGATTGAAATTAAATCAAATCAATTAAGCAACATAGATTCCATAATTTATTATTATTATTATTAAGTTTATTCCTAACAATTTATCATCATCATCATTATATATATTTTTATCGATTATTTTTTTTTTTTAAATAATAATTTTTCAATCAATCAATCAATCATTCATTCATTCAATCGATCGATCGATCACCGCATATATTATGGAAGCAAGCACACAATTTTAAACAGCCCAAGCACAAATAACAACAACAACAAACAATTCTGACGTTTTACAAAAATCTATGTTTGTATATATATATATATATATATATTTTTATTTATTTATTTATTTATTTTATACATATTAAATTATTGTTTTGAATGTACTAGCAATAATAATAATAATAGCCACAATGATATAAATAATAAATAATAATAATAATAATGATAATAATAATAAAAATAAAGCCATTCTCTTTTGTTAAATGCCCGACGGGATTGTATTTTTTTTTCTTTTCTCCACACTCGGTTAAAAAAAAAAAAAAAATTATAATGATGATAATAACAATAATAATAATAATAATAATAATAATAATAATGATAACAATAACAATAATGATAATAATAATAAAAATAATGATTGGAAAAAAAACAAAAAAATTTATTTTTATTTTTTATTTAATTTTTTTTACGTTTTTAAATATTAATTATTTATTTATTTATCACACTGCTTTTTTTTTTCTTGCCTAGATACTATTATTAATTAATTAATTAATAATAATAAAAATAATAATAATAATCATAATAATAATAATAATAATAATAATAATAATTATCATTAAAGTTTATTTTATTTTATTTTTTTTTTGGTTTTTTTTTCTCCTTTTATGGTTTCAAAGCGCGAACAGCAAATGGGCGTGTGTTTAATTAAACGAAACAATATATATATATCGCGTTTTATACGAATAATATTAATAATAATAATAATAATGATAATGATAATAATGATAGTAGCAGCAACGAACTATATATATATGTGAAATTTATGATTCGCGCCAACGTATTAACCTCTTTCACGTTATAATAATTCAATTATTATCAAATGATGTTGATGCAGAAAACAAAACAAAAAAAAAAAAAAAAAAAGTCTCTCAATAAGCGAAACATAAGAATTTTATGATAAGGGTTATGTGATATAATAACACGCACGCACGCACGCACACGCACACGCACACGCACACACACGCGCACCGAAATTCATTTTTTTCCCATTCGACCCAATTAATTAATTAATTAATTAATTTCATTTGTTACGCATGTATATATAATATTGATTTCCCTTTCCTCTTCCTTTCTTCATCTTTCTCTTCTTCTTTTCTTCTTCTACTTCTTCCTTTTCCTTTCCTCCTGTGATTTTTCCTAACAGGGAGAAAAACAAAAAAAAAAAAAAAAAAAAAAAAATTGGGAGGAGAGGAGGGACGATAGAAAACGATAAAAAAAAAAAAATGAAATCCCTCGACAATAATAACTAATAATAATAATAATACTAATAGCTAATGGTGGGCACCGACCGATTATTATTATTATTATTATTATTAATATTATTGCACAAACTGCATTTTTAAATTTGACCTTTTTCTTTCCCCCCTTACCCTTCCCCCTCACTCTCTCTTTTCCTCATTCTTTCCCTCGGAATCCTGACCGTAAACATTTTTGACAATTGAAAATAAAAAAAAATGAAACCTGATTTCTGAACAAACAAAAAAAAAAAAAAAAAAGCAGAAGTAAAAAGAATATTTTCGTAGAATAATGATGACAATGATAATAATAATAATAATAATAATAATAATAATAATAATAATAATAATTCTCCGAATGGTAAAGCATTTTTTCCTATCCTTTTCAGAGCACACCCACATCAGATTCGAAAAATTTCCCTTTTATAACAAATAAGAAGAAGAAGAGTAGTAGTAGTAGTAGTAGTAGTAGAAAAAAAAAAAAAATAATAATAATAATAATAATAATAAAATAAAAATTATTAATTGGTTAACAAATTTCCTTCTACGACAATTCATCAATTATCACCCGTATAGTATTGAATTTTTCCATTTCTCATAACATCTTCCCAAGCTGGAACAGAAAAAAAAAAAAAAAAAAAAAAAAAAAAAAAAAAAGAAAACGTCACGTTAGATGGCGGTGGCAGTGGCGGTGACGACAATGATGATAATGATAATGATAATAATAATAATAAAAACGTTTCAAACTCACCCAATCCGACGAAGCTAACTATTTTGTCGTAATTAAATTGGACTGAAGCTGCCGGAGGAACATATTTATTGGCAATGGAATTCCCGCCGGAATGATCGACAGACGGATCATTTCCTGTCGCGTATTTTTTCTTCGGAATCGTTTCTTGCCTACCGAAAAATTCCGATACGGTGGAATTCATCATCTCGCCCAAGACGGCATTCGTCGAGTTAAGCGTTTGATAAGCGTTTTCATTTTCTTTTATTTCGTGAAAGGGGAGCCCTCCTCCGTTGACGGTCAACGTTTTCTCATCGACTTTAACCGAATTTTCCGAGCTTCTATTATTATTATTATTATTATTAATAATTATTTTATTAACATCGTGATTATTATTATTATTATTATTTTTCCGCGAACTTTTATAACTAATGACGTCGTTATTAATGCTCTCCGTTGTTGCTGCTGCCGCTGCTGTTGGTGCTGTTGTCACATCATCCGGTAATATGGTCGAATCGTCCGAAGACAAAAGTTGCTCGTTGATTTCAAAACCAAATGTGATTTCGCACACACTACTGTCTTTGGTTCTTTCATCGTGAAGCAAAATAACGGGTGGTCGTCTCGTGTTCGGACCGACACTTTTGGATCGATTCGAACGACGGTGTTTTCCCTCATCATCCGACTTTGGTCTTTTCGGCGTTTTGACCTCTCGATTTCCTCCGTCCCCCTTGACGTCCCCTTCCACGGATTTTTTATTATTATTATTATTATTATTATTATTAGTGTTATTATTCGGTTCCGTAATCGGAGAAATTTGCTTCGTTTTTCCAAAAGCGTTTTGTTCACTAGATTCTGTTTTGTTTTGTTTGCATTGACTCGGAGTTTCCGATTTGACCGGCAGACTCGGGAAATCCTCGCGACTGATTTTCTTCTTATTCCAATTTTTCTTACCGTCCCCGGATTTCGTATCGACCGTTGTCGATTTACACGGGTCCGAATCACAACTAGATACAATTTTTTTAGAGTCATTATTTTTCAATGGTAATTCAATAACTTTATTATTATTATTATTAGGAGTCACGACTTTGCTATCAACAGATTTATCAACAATAACAAGATCTTTAAACTTTTTCACATTATTATTATCACATATTTCGTTATTAACTTCTACTACACTTAAATTATTTTTTCTATTTTCCTGTCTAGAACAATTTTTTAAGTCACTAAAATTATTGATATTAGTGATTTGGTTAACATTTAAATTGTTAGCGTTTTGAACAATATTATTATTATTATTATTATTATTATTATTATTATTGGTATTGATTCCGTTGGTTTTACTTCCGTTTACACTGTTGCTGTTGTTGACGTTGTTGGAGGCGTTAACATTACTTTTATTATTTTTATTATTTAAATTATTATTATTATTAATATTGTTATTGTTATTGTTATTATTATTATTATTATTATTATTACTATTATTACTATTAGAATTGTTGTTGTTGTTGTTGTTGCTGCTGCATGAATTTTCATTTGATTTTTCCCAATGTTGATTAACGGAGTTACACCAACTTTCAATTTCATTATTTTTAGCACAATCTAATTTATCGGGACTGTTTCCGTTAAAAGTACTTATTTCGTTGATTCCTTTAGGAGTGAAAAAAGCAGAATTTCCAGCTGCTATGTCAGCATACGACACTGCGGGAGCACCTCCCACGGGTAAACTGTGCACCGAGTCCAAATCCGAATCTCCGCCCCGTTCGCTGGGCGGAACAGAAGACGTGCTTTTCCTCCGGGGACTCCTCCGCGAATTTCTATAGTTTCGAACGAGTTTCGGATTGGGATTGACGATTTTCTTTTTCCTTTGTTTCTTAGTAACTATTTGAAATTCCCCGTCGGAATTATTTTCATCTTCTTCTTCCGCATTCATCAAATCAATTTTACTGCCGGTCGTAACAAAAACCTGGGAAAACATTTTTTTTTTGTTTGCTCCACATTCGTCCGTTCAAAATTTAAAAAAAAAAAAAAAAAAAAAATAGAAAAACCAAATCTACCTGATCCGGAAATTTTCTTCGATCTTTGATGCCTGCATCCGTGCCACTACCACTATTGATTCCAAATTTGTCGACGGTGGACGTTTTTTCGCTTTCTGAACTCTCGCTAAGATCTTCAATGTTTCTCTGCGACACATCTTCGAAACTACTAGATTTTTGCATGCTTTGACGTTTCTTTTCGTTTTTCTTATTACCTTACATCGAATTATAAATAATTACCACGTTCATAATAATTCAAAAAATTACGAGTGATAACCTGTCAATGACCTTTACCTTTAGTCAATTTTTTAAGCTGTTTATTTTTGGCTTTGCCTCTCTCGATGAAATTCACGACGATATCCACATCGGCATTGCCACGGTACCCGGCTATGTCGTGACTGAACACGGTGTTTTTCTGAGCCAGCAATTTTCTTTTTTGCTTTTTCTGTATTCGCGTCGTTAAACTCGACACGTTCAAAGCGTTGCCATTTTCATCCGTTCGGGGAGAATCCGTGGCGGATGCTGCCGCGGCCGCTTTCGAACTTATGTTGACAATCATGTTCATGTTCATGTTCATGTTCAAATTGCGATACATGTGAGGACGCAATCCGAAGGGTTGCTCGCTTAACCGTCCCTGAAAAAAAAACACCAAAACCTACATAAGTGATTTTAATAATCGAAAAAAAAAAAATTTTTTCTTTTCCCCCCCCCCCTCCCTCCCAATCGACGGCGTAAAAATTTAAAAAATTATAAAACCTGATTGGATGCATCCGACGTCATTCTCGTTCTGTCTCCCATGATGCATTGAACCGAAGGATAATTATCACTCAATTGTACGGATTCCATTCCATTTAATATTCTCTTCTCATTGAAACCCAATTCAATGGATGAATCAACCGGTTCTACTTCTAAACTAGCTCTCGTCGTAAACACTTCTTGATGATTGTTGTTGTTGTTATTGTTGTTATTATTATTATTATTATTATTATTATTCGGATTTTCCGATTCCACTTCGCACGATGTGATTCTGAAAATTAAAAAAAAAAAAAAAATTTCTTTTTTTTTCGTTTGTTAAACACAAAAAAAAAATAAAAAATAAAAAAATAAAAAAATAGAGAATTAAAAGCATTAATAAATAAATAAAGCCGAGGAAGAATTTTCACGGTAACCCCAATTTTTTTTTTTTTTGTTAACCAATAAAAATGAATTTGGCACCTGGACGACTTTTCGCTATTTTGAAAAGTTTGAGGTTTCTTTTCAAAATTCAAAGAAGGATCTGAATCGCTTAACTTTTTAATCTCCAAGTTAAGACTACTCATGTCAAATGATACGCATTCATTTGACTTTGGAAGCTGCGGCATTTTCCTCACCATCGATGAAGAACTTTCCGACTGATTCTTCAACTTGACTATATTCAATTCGAACGGTTTTAATTGGTCACTACTCGAGTGATGTCTTCTCAACGGATATAATTCTCCTTTAAAAAGGACAGAGAGAGAGAGAGAGTCAACATGTAATTTATAAAACATACATTTTTTTTTTTTTTTTTTTTTTTTTTTTTTTTATATTCATCAAACAATCATATTTATAATTTTACCTGGATTTGGTTTTTTACTTGATGGTAACTCGTTTGAAGCTGAATGCTTTAATGTTTGCCTCCTTGCTTGAGTTGATGCGACGGCAACACTGCTTGTATTACAGTAAGCAGTGTTGCCAAAACTAACTGTTACGTGATTTGGTTGTATAGGATCTCGATCGAACAGTCCTTTCTTTTTCGTTTGATCCGACTGCTAATAATTATAAATAAAAAAAGAAAATAAATAAAAATTAAAAGTGAATAAACTGATAGAGATAGTTTTAGGTGAGGTAAAATTTAACATATGAGACGTTCCAAAATTTAAATTAATTAACTTAAGTTTAAAAAAATTTTGTGTCACTGAAAACTTTTCAAATCAATCTCTCTCTCTCTCTCTTTTCTTCTTATTTATTGATTTATTTTTGTTCTCATATTTGTTGTTTTCAATAGAAAAAGATCGAACGAACGAGATTAGAGCTATTAAAGCAAATATAATTCATTATATACTTATATGTATATATTTTTTTTTTTTTCTTCAGAAACAATGGCAAGATGATTATTTTTATGACAGAGTTTTTTGATAGTACACAACAAGACCTTACCCATGATTCCAAAGGCCAACCAGCATTCACATTAGAGGGCAGCGATCCGCCTTCCCTCTGGCGAGCACTAACCGAACTCCCCGGTCCTTGTCGTTTATTTTTTTTCCGAGAACCTGTAAAAAAAGGTTTTGGTTGTATTTTTTTTTTTTTTTTTTTTAACGAATTCGATAAACCTATTAAAAAAAGGGGGAGTTAAAAATAAAATGAAAAAAAAAAAACTCACTACTGGGATGATGAGTGTCAAATTCGGAACAGGAAGCTGCGTGAAATATATTTTGCAAAGAACCACTTCGAGTAGCTCTTTCCGAAACAGGTACACCTTTATTTCCTTCACGGATTCTGATTGCTCGTCGCCCACCACTTCCCCTTATACCAACTACGGGATAGCTATAGTCACTATCGTCGGCTTCGACTTTTTGAAGAAGTTCCTAAAAATTTACACAATATCAATAATAATAATAATAATGACAGAATCTCGACGAAGGACACAAACCCACCAAAAATAATAATAATAATAAAAAACGTTGACAAATTTTAGAAAAAACAAAACAAAAAAAAAAAAAAGAAAGGAAAGGAAAAAAACCACTTGATAAGTATTGATAAAACAAATAAAATTATTAATAATAATAATAATAATAATAATAATAATAAATTACAAAAATTGTGCAATCGCTAATGACTCATTAAAAAAAAAAAAAAGTAAAGAAAAAAAAAAAAAAATTTTTTTTTTTTTTTACAGGTGAAATTTCATTATGCAATGATTATCGTAATGTTATGATGTAAATCAGTAATATAACTCAATTTAAAATCGAAAAACAACAGTGCACCTTTTTATATACACACACACACACACACACACACACATACTTATATATATATATATAAACATGCAGAGCATAATGTTCGAGCAAAAAAAAAAAAATCGGAAAGAATGAGGTACAAATGCCAAACTCACCCGAAATATTTTACTTTTCCCTTCTCTATCTTTTGGATTTTTATACTGGATAGCCTCGTCAAGTAAAGCTTTTAATTGTCCATCATCTAAAGAGTGCACATCTTTTTTTTTAGATTCACTCTGAAAATAAAAAAAAAACAAATTTCATTATATTTTATTAATAATAAACATTATATAAAAAAAAACTCCAACAACAATATGGAAATATTGGGGGGGGGGGGGGGGAAACTCTTTGGTAAAATTTAAAAACCTAATAAAATAATCGATAAAGTCAATAAATAATTAGTAAATAATATTAAAAATAAAAATCAAATCGGCAATTTCATGATGAACCATTATTAATTGACAAAAAAAAAAAAAAAAGGAAAAAAATCAATAACGACAATTTTCAAAAATTAATCGATATTTACACACACACACACACACATATATATTAATTTGCACTCGTTTGAAAAATTTAAAAAATTTTAATTTGAATCAATATTGATAAAATTTGTAATAATTGCATGAAATTACATTAAAAACTTTTCTTTCATTTTACCCATAAGTTACAAAAAAAAAAAAAATTTTCCTTTAAATTTTTGTCTTTTCGATACAAATCTCATGAATTTGAGACAACAGTTACAAAAAAAAGAAAAGAAAAGGATCAACTAGTGAGTGATAAGACATGATGTAACTTGATATACGTTGGGCGGGACACCAATTCAGCATCACAGAAAAATCCTTTTTTTTTTTTTTCCTCTTCTATCTATCTCTCTCTTTCTCTCACTCTTCTCCTAATTAAAAATAATAATAATAATAATAATAATAAATCCCCAATAAAGATAAACTCTACATTTTCATTATAATAAAAATTCTCAATAATGATAATAATAATAATAACGATTAATTTTTTTTTTTTTTTTATTAAAAGAAAGGCGTGAGGGGATACGACAGGGAAAAGTAAATTAGGAGAGAGAAAGAGGAGAGAGGAGAGAGAGAAAGAGAGAAAGAAAAAGAGAAGAAAAATAAAAAAAATTTTTTTTTTTTTTTTTTTTTTTCTTTCCTTTCCCCCTCTTTGGCCAATGAATATGTCGAAGGAAATGGCATTACAATGCAATTTTTATTATGTTATCCCTTACACAATATTTATATATATATATATATAAATAACCGTACGTTTATAAAATTAACTCGCGAAAAAAAAACGAAATGAATTAATTCAATACAAATACCATCACGAATAATTATAACAATTACAAATTTGAAATTATAATGGCAAAAAAAAATTAAAAATTACAATACGAACCAAATTTAATCATAAGGCGGCCGCCATTTTGAACTTTTAGTGAAGAAACCACTGCCATTGGCTTTGAAACGATTCAATACTTTTTTTTTTGCCTTATTGCCACTATTATGGGAATAAAAAAAAAAAAAAAAAAAAAAAAAATGCAATTGTTCTTTCAGGCTTATTATTATTATTATTATTTTTTCAAAAGAAATTTGCTACACATGATATTCACTAAAAAAAAAAACCCAGACTTCCCATTATTTTATTCCTAAAATATAATTAAAAATAAATAAATAAAAAAAAAAAACTCAAAACCAGTCTCATATTTTACATTCCAATAAATATTAATTATTATTAATATTGATAATGCAAAATTTTAAAACTTACTTTTTTAATTATTATTATTATTAAAATCAATTATCTGATTTTATTTAAAAGAATAACGTAATAATAATGATAATAATAATTAGTAACTTTTTGTCTCGTCGATAATAATTTATTGGTTTTTTTAAAATGCATTTTAAGTCATTTCGAGTGATTTTTAATTTAACAAAAAATTAAAAGTTAATAGTTTATTATTATTATTATTATTACTATTTTTCAAATCCGAATATATGATGATGAAATATTTTCTTTATCGCATAAAAAAAAAAAAAAAAAAAAAATAAACTCTGGCAATAATCCAACACTGAATTGCAATATAGCACAAATATAATTACAAAAAATTTTATGTAAATAAAAACTAAGTAAAGAAATAAGTTAGTCAACTAATACATTACACCAATGCTAGTTCAATATTTTTGTAAGTTTGAATTCACAATTTGAAATATCTCACAATCGTTAAAAATTAAAATTTAATGAATTAAAAAACCTTGCAACTGTTCAGTCGACTGAAACTCTTGACACAATTTTAAGCAGCACTGCATTTTCACATGATTAAACAACATTTTTACAGAGGATTATTATTATTATTTTTTTTTTTTCTGCTTCATCCCAGTTTAAAAAGAAGACAGAGATGTTTTATTATTATACACCTCGTTTCAAAGTTCCCTCACATCGATGTCGTCTTTACAATGATTAAAATATTGTTATTGTGTGTGTATAATCTTAACCAAGCTTTTACACTTCAAAATTTTATTCGATTGTAATGACACATTAGAACTATTAATTAAATCATGGGGGGATATGAAAACAACAAAATTTTCATATTTTCAATTGTAAATTATTAGTAAATAGATAAAGACAATAAATTTGAAACATTTCACATCAAAAAAAAAAAAAAAAAAAATGTCAACTTTCATTTATGTGAACATTTTATAAATTGGATTTTTCAATGAATTTTTTTAACGATTACGAATCGTTTATCACGGGTAATGTATTATGGGGTTTCCGTAACAACATAAAATTTATATTTTTTATACATTAACCGAAAGGGACACCTATAATTTACAAATAAGTTCAACGACCGAATGGCAATGGCTGTTGTAGCATGGTTACATTATAATACGTATATATATATATAATTCTTACCTGATCATCCTTTGAAATGCCTTTAACTAATTTTTTGTCGTCGGGCGGTTCTGATTTTGATTTTAAATTATCTACAGTTCGATTATCACTTGTTTTATTTCTATCTGGGGCTTTAGGTTCGTTACCTTGTGCTGGCCATGGCGCCATATTGTTAAGGACAAAGGCCTAGCTGAAAACCCCTTTACGAGAAATTCATGATCGTCCACCACCATAACATTATCATTTTAATAATAATAATAAATTAAACGATGACATATTAATGATGCTCTATTCATTATTTATTTTATTTGTAATTTAAACGTTCTGACGTAATTTTAAATTACATACAACACTAGTTTTCCAATAACAGGAAAATTTGCACTGAATTTTCATCGATCAATCGCTCTGACGGCGACGATGTCAACTAAAAAAACCCGTGTTCGAAAATAACCCAACTTTTTTTTTTTTTTTTTTTAAATTAATTATCATTAACAACATTCGGTAAAAATTTACAAAAAAAAAAAAAACAACAAATTTACGTATACATATATTTATATATTTATTTTATTATTAAAAGTAAATTGTATCTATTAAATTTATTAATAAAATAAATTATTTAAAAATCAATTTAAATTTAAACATTTAATCAATTGATAATTTTTTCCTTTTTTTTTTTTAAATTAAAATTTTTGCTGCACGCAATATTGTGTATGAATTATATATTTCCCGCCGCAAATTTCGTGTCATAGAAATTTAAAATCAAATAATTTTACGTAATTTATCATATAAGTTCATCATAATGGGGTATATATTTATTTGTTAAATTTTTAAGTGATTAATAAAAAAAAATTATTTGTATAAATAAAAAAATTTTTTTTTTTTTTTTTTTTTTTCTCTTCTCGTAAAAATGATTAAAACGAAAAATTCAGAAAATATTTTTTTATTTATTCCTAATATAATAGGTAAATAAATTATTTTATTTTAATTTGTAGAATTAATTTTTGTTTAAGGACTTGTCAATGATATTGATTAATTTCAACTTGACAAAAAGATAAAAATTTTTTTTTAATTTTCTACAAATTTATACAAAATTAATCGTTATGCTGTTTTTATACTCCATTATTATAAATACATTCATGTGAGGGTTTTTTTTTTTTTTTTCTTTTTCAGGATATGCAAGAGTTATTTTAGCCATCATTTCATTTTATTTTATGAAGACACATTATGTAATAGCGACTTCATGTTATATTATATCGGCTCTCTTGGATGCTTTCGATGGTCATGCTGCTCGATATTTTAACCAAAGTAAAAACCTTTTTTTCTTTTTGTTAAAAATTTGAATTTGAATTATTTTTTGTCAATTTGCTTTCTGTAACATTTTATCCCTCTTTTAAGGTACTAAATTTGGGGCAATATTGGATCAATTAACAGATAGATGCGGAACGATGGGACTATTGGTCGTACTTAGTAATTTTTATCCAACATACTTATTTTGGTTTCAAATGGTCATGATCATCGATGTCGCATGTCACTGGATTTATTTACATTCGTAAGTTTTTAAAAAAAGCAGCAGACGACAGAAAAAAAAAAAAAAAAAAGTTTTCACATTGAACATTGAAAACATTGAAAATTTTTTTCTAGATCACTTTTACAAGGGAAAACATCGCATAAATTTGTCGATCTCTCGGAGAATGCAATCATGAGATTGTATTACACCAACAAAACAATTTTGTTTTTCATGTGTGCAACAAACGAACTTTTCTTTGCATCTCTTTACCTTCTTAATTTCACTCCTGGTCCTATGAAAATTTTCAAAATTCTCACATATGCCACTGCTCCCTTCATGTTAATTAAAAATTTCATAAGCTTAATACAATTATTTGTCGCTTGTAAAAATATCGGTGTCATCGATGTTAAAGAACGAGAATCCCTTGGAAAAAATGATTAATTTTCACCTTTTTTTTTTTTTTTTTTGCTTTTTTTTTTTTAAACGCATTTATTTATACACTTATATTATTTAATACTTTTAGATGTTTTTTTTTTTAATTTAGTGCCAAAATTTTTTCTTTTATATATATATATAAATTTAATTTATATAGCTAACCTATAACTTCCGTTTACTTAACAAGTCGTAGTAAACTTTTTATCTGTTTTTTACGAACACAAACATACAAACATATACTTAATAATAATAATTTCTTTCTATACTTTTCGTTTCATCTTTATATATTTACACATATATATATATATATTTAACAATGAAATAATTATTATTATTATTATTCGTTTAGATTATTAATAATAATAATAATAATATAAATCGACTGAATGTTTCAATTTGTATAAAAAAAAAATATGTTCGAATAAGTTTCATTTTATTTATTTTCTAGTCAAAATTTATTTATTTTTATTTTTATTTATATTTTGTCTAACATCATTCCATATCATTATTTTTTTATTTATTTATTTATCATACATAATATATATTAATTTTTTTGCACCCACGTGACTCATTAATAATAATAATAATAATTCATTCCTTCATTTTTTTTTAACAAAAAAATTTTACCATTGATTTTAACACCTTTAACAAAATCCTACGAGTAAAGTTACCCATATGAAAAGTAATCATTATTATTATCATTATCATTCGATTTGAAACTTTTAATAATGATAATAATAATGAGAATAATGATAGTAATAGATAAAAACAAGTGAAATGTATTTAACAACTCATTTAATATTAATATTGTTGTTATTATTATTATTATTATTATTATTAATTTATTAACTTGTATTTTATTTTTTAAATATACATTATTATTATTATTATTTTATTATTAAAATGTATTATTAGACGTAAATATATGTATAATAAAAAGCAAAAACAAAACAATTTTAATAATTTTTTTGTAAAAACAAAACATTGATACCTACTTACCAACCTACCTACCTGCTTGCCTGTGTACCTGTTATTAAAAAATTAGTTATTAAAATTTACAATAGATGGCAGTGTTTTAAAAAAAAAAAACAAGTAAAATACCTGTGTGTGTGTAAATTCCATGGTTTTTAATGGTCGAAGCATTCAACCATACCTCCTCCTTATATGCTGCTATTATTATTATTATTATTATTATTATTATTATTATTATTATGGTCTAAACCAGTTGCGTATGCCAATAGTTGAAAAAAAAAAAAAGAAAGAAAAAAAAGTTCAGTATATCTTCGGCCGCGTTGTCTGGCTAATGTCGATGTCGATGTGTTGTTATTGTTATTGTTATTTTATTTATTATTATTATTTGCATATTATTTTTGGATAATATTCACGCAGGTACGCAGGCACGCAGGCACACACGCAATTTTTGGATAATATTCGTTATTGCATATTGTTGTTTGGATATCATTTTTTTTTATAATTCGAGTAAGTTTGTTTAAATTTTTTTTTTTTTAAATTTATGTTTAGTATATGCATTGATTTATATATATACCGTTAACTTTTGATACGAACCAACCTGTAATGTTAATGTTACACACCTGTGTGCGTGTGTATATTATTCTTACCGTAAAAAAAAAAAATTACAACCATTCATTCACCTAAATATCATTATTATTATTATTATTATTATTATTATTATTATTATTATTATTTTCTAATTTTATTTTTAATATAATTTAATAAAAAATGGCGACTATACTTTAAACGACGGATGAAAAACGTGTGGGGGAATGGATACGAAAAAAAAATAATTATATTATTATTTTCCGTTTGAAATTCCATTCGCTATTATTATTATTATTATTTTAAACGTACTTTATCATATTCTTTCATTATCAGTAAAGTGGATGATTTTGATTCTGTTTCCACGTTTTTCTTTCTAAACGCACGCATTTCAACAAAAGACATTTGTTTTAAAAAAAAAAAAAAACAAAAAAAAACGCGATTTTAAAACGGTTTTTCCTCGTTTTTCGAAAATGCGTTCGCGGGTTTATTTTTTTTTTCTCTCTCTCCCTCACTCTCTTTGTCTCACTCACTCTCAATCTTCTTTCTTTTTTCCCTTTCGAAAAAAAACGCGGTCGTTTGTCCTAACAGAAAATTTATTAAACATTTTCTCGTGTTTTTATTTATTTTTTACCCGCCAAAAAACTCATCCGTTCGCTTTTATTTTTTTTTTGTACATGGATAAGAACAACAACGACACGTTAGTTTCCTCCCCTGCCCCTCCTCCCCACGTCACCCCCCGAACGTTAATTAAAATGTCACGAAAAGTTAAGAGAAAGTAATTACCGTGTTTATATATATACCAATAATTATTTTCCTATTCAATTCGCCGTTCTGTATATTTTTACCGGGTCGAAATCGGTTTAAACTCCGGCCCCCCCGCTGCCCCCCGAATAAAAAAAAAAAAAATCAAAGCATGCGAAGAATAAAGTAAAGCTAATTTTTACACACGTTTTCGCTGAACGATTCAAATTCCCTTTGAATAAAACTATTTAAAAAAAAGTCGTAAACGAAGGGTATGAATTAAATGATGTTGCAAAAATAATAATAATAATAATAATGATGATGATGATGATGATGATGATGATGATGATGATAATGGTTTCAATTAAACCTACGTTTATCATTTGTTTTTTTTTTTTTTTAAATCCCAAAATAATTATTCATTTAAATCGCACGCACGCACGAACGAACGTACGCATGCACGCACATGTAAACAAACAAACGTAAACAAACAAACAAACAAACGAACAAACGAACGTAACAACAATAAGCTCAATGATAATAATGTTTTATAATTATTTTAAGATTGTAATATCATCCGATTGATGATGATGATGATGAGTTCTTCCGGTTCAAGGTATTGCAAACCTTGAATATTATAGGTAGGGAAAGAGTGAGAGAGAGAGAGAGAGAGATTATTAAACCATCATTTTAATACTTTTTCAATTATTACGTCACGCTTAGAAATATTTTACCCAAATAATAATAAATTTTTATTCCCTTTTGTCCTTTCGTCTAACAAAAAAAAAATTTATTATCATTATTATTATTTTTCTCTCTTCTTGTTCATTTAGAAAGTTAAAACAAAAAAAAATTTAGTCGATGATGGTCAAAAGTGTCGGTCGGTGAGTCGGTTTGTTGTTGCAAGGGAAATAATTATTATTATTATTATTTTATTTATTATATCGTGACGTAATTTGATATTTAAAAAAAATTTATTTTTCTGATTGAGAAAATTTAAAAAGATCATTCGAGAAGATTTTGTAAACAAAACCGGGTAAGAAAAATACCATTTTTTTTTTTTCATTTTTCATTTTTTACCGGAAGTGCGAGGATCTGGGGGAGGGGCGAAAGGTGGGTAAGGAGGGGAGGGGAAATTTCAATTACCGTTAAGATTACATTGAAGCCAGTAATTTTCATTTTAAATATGTAACTATCGTGTGTGTAAGTTTTAAAATGTGATTGAAACTGGTACCCGTTGAATTATTAAAATATTCAAACGAGTTTTTTTTTTTTTTTTTACACTATAATCTATCAGATTTGCTCTAAATTAAAAACGAGATTTTATTTTATCAACAACCGACCGATTTCCATGTGAGAAAAAAAAAATTGCGTTCCTCTCCCCTCCCCTTCCCCCCTCCAAGTTAATCTTATCATCGTCTTTGATATTATTAATTATTTCGTCTGCCATATTTCGTTGATTTGTTTACAAAAAAATTCATAGATAGTAAAAAAATAGAGAAAAAAAAAACGTCTTGTCAACGTAAACAAATAAATAATAAAAAACGATTATCACGGCACAAAACAATTTTTTTTCGTACCTGATACAAATTTTCTAAGCAAAAGTAAAACAATACTTTTTGTATACAAAACGAAATTTAAAAAACAAAACAAACATATTTATTGATTTAGTAGTAATAATAATAATAATAATAATAATAATAATAAACGCGTAGTTTTCCAAATATCGATTTTCTAAAAAAAAAAAAAAAAAAAAAAATGTCCTTGTGCGATTATTATTATTATTATTATTACTATTTATATTTACAAATTCTATGAATGAAACTCGTGAGTATTTTTTTTTGTTGTTGTTGTTGGTAATAATCAACTGTAAACAAAAACAAAACAAAACAATAACAAAACGTTTTTAAAAAAATTTGATGATGAAAAATGAGAAGATGAAACAAAATTATTGGTTTTCGAGAAAGAGAGAGAGAGAGAGAGAGAGAGAGAGAGACAAACAGAATGGCAAAAAGAGAGAGAGCCAAACAGAATGGCAAAAAGAGAGAGAGAGAGAGAGACAAACAGAATGGCAAAATGAGAGAGAGAGAGAGACAAACAGAATGGCAAAATGAGAGAGAGAGAGACAAACAGAATGGCAAAAAGAGAGAGAGCCAAACAGAATGGCAAAAAGAGAGAGAGAGAGAGAGACAAACAGAATGGCAAAATGAGAGAGAGAGAGAGACAAACAGAATGGCAAAATGAGAGAGAGAGAGACAAACAGAATGGCAAAAAGAGAAAGAGAGAGAGACAAACAGAATGGCAAAATGAGAGAGAGACAAACAGAATGGCAAAAAGAGAGAGAGAGAGAGAGAGAGAAAGATTTAATATAGAAATGATGGTGATTTCTTCCGGGTGATATTGAATAATTTTTTTTTTTTTGTTTTTTCATTAACTGCTGCCCCGACGTTTATTGTAAATAAACCCCCCGAGTTTTTTTTTTTTTTTTCAAAATCAAAATTAAGCCCTGACACAGATTTATTATGTATGTATACATATATACACTCTTTCCATCAGTTTCCTTTCGAATGCAATCATATAAAAAAAAAAAAAAAAAAAAAAAAAACTTGTCTGACGACCGGGATAACTTAAAAAATTACAACAACGCGAGACCGCATTTCTTACTTTGGCAAACCTGACATGTCTCTCTCTCTCTCTCTTATTCA